TTCTATACCACGACAGGCTGTGCGAACTATGTAACACTGAACCTGATCGTCCACGACAACCCATTGGCAACGACCCCAACGCCGTATCCTTTGTGTGACACCACGGGCGCTCCACTAACGGAGACATTCGATTTAACGACAAAAATCCCTGAGATTTTGGGCTCATTAAGCCCGGCCAATTACACGGTAACGTTCTATACGGATTTAACCGATGCGCAGACCCCTAGAAACAACATTACCAGCATCGCAGCTTACACGAGCCCGAGCGATACGCTTTACGTTCGTGTTCAGGACAACGCTACAGGCTGTTTTGACATTGTAGAACTGGAGCTGATTGTGAATCCGCTTCCGAACTCTTTGCAGCCGAACTATCCTCAGTACTCGCTTTGCGACAACACCCAGTCCCCGGCCTCAGAAATCGGATACGAACTGTTTGACCTGCCGAGCAAGGTGGACGACATCCTTTTAGGTCAGACGGGTATGGTAGTTACGTTCTACCCAAGCCTTACTGCGGCACAGAACAACCTTACGCCAATTACAACTTTCCCTTACCGCAATGCGATACAGTATGTCCAGACTTTGGGGATCCGCATCACCAACAGCCAGACGGGTTGCTATGTGATCTCTACGATGGACATCCGCGTGGAGCCTTTGCCAACGCTTATCCCGCCTAGCAGTCCTTATACGCTTTGCGACCAGGATCAGGACGGGTATACAACTTTTGACCTTACGACCTTATTGAGCGGTATGCTCAACGGGATCACGACCTATACGGTTACTTTCCATGAGACGTATGACGATGCCGATACTGGCGGAACAACCATTCCGAACCCTTCGGCTTACACCAACATCGATCCTTTTGCACAGACGATCTTTGTAAGGGCAGAGGACAACAACACGCACTGCGTGAGCATTATCACTATCCAGCTGGTGGTCAACCCAAGCCCTATGGCTCCGATCAACCTGGCAGATATCGTGGTATGCGATACCGACAGCAATACCCAGAACAATTCCACTATGGTGGATCTTACCCAAAGGACTCCGGATGTACTGGCCCAACAGCCGGGTGCGGCCTCAGACTATACTGTAGAATATTTCCTATCGCAGGCTGCTGCTGCTGATGGCAGGTTCCCGATCATCCCGGATAACCGATTTACGGCTACAGGCGGACAGACGATCTGGGTAAGGGTAGAGCACATCGCTACGGGCTGTTACAATTTGGGTACCTTCCAGATTGTGATCAACTCGCCACTACTGCTCATTACGCCAACCCCTTTGAGCCTGTGTGATGACGATGCCAACCCGAACAACCAGTTCCACAGCTTCAATCTGACGGTTAAGAACAATGAGATCACGCAGAACCTTCCGTATACGGTAACGTATTACCCAAGCTATGCCCTGGCACAGGCGGGAGTTGCAGGAACCGAGATCGCCACCCCTACAGCATATACCAACATCAGCCCTGCGGTTCAGACCCTTGGCGTTGTGGTGACCACCGGTGCGGGATGTAAAAGCATCACGACTCTGGACATCCGCGTGCTTCCGATACCGACCCCTCGTACCAACCCACCGGCACTTCCGGCAAAATGTGACGACAACAACCCGGGGGACATGCTAGAATATTTTGACCTTACAACCAATGAAGGCTACATCCGAAACAACGATCCAAGTCTGAGCTTCAGCTATTACTATACCCAGGCCGATGCGCTGGTTCCACGCAATCCGATCCCGGCACCGGTTACCAATGCTTTGGTAGGAAGCAATGTTTGGATCCGTGTGGAAAACACCCGAGTGGATTATCTGGGCAACCACTGTTTTGTACTGGTGGAGCAGGCCCTTACGGTGAACCCGCTTCCGGCAGTTAACCCATCACCGGCACCTTACAGGGTGTGTGATGACAATGCAGACGGTATCGCTGATTTTGACATGACGATCCCGGCACTGGCTACTTCGATACTCAATACCGCTACAACAGGACAGCAGCCAAGTGATTTTACCATCAGCTACTACCTAACGGCAGCCGGGGCAAACCCGGCAACCAATACCGGAGAGACGCCACTACCCAATACGTACACCAATACGGCATCACCAAACTCGCAGATAGTGTACATCCGGGTGGTGAACAATGCTACAGGCTGTGTGAACCCAACAGGCACACTTACCCTGGCGGTGGAGGCGTATGCTACGGCTACGGGGCCACAGACCTTTGCGGATTGTGACAACTATAACGATCCTTACGATGGGGTACACCGAATTGATTTGACCCAATACGAGGCTGCGATCCTTAACGGACAGAACCCTGCGGTATTCTTGGTAAGCTACTACACGAGCCTTGCAGCGGCACAGGCCGGAACAGGAGCCCTTACCTTAGCAGAAGCCCAGGCCTATGAGACCGATCCGGATACGGATACGATCTGGGTTAAGGTGGAGAACAGCAGCAATAGCATCACGCCATTCTGTTATGCGATTACTACCATTGATATCACGGTGGAGCGTTACCCGAACCCAATCATCAATACACAAAACGGAGTTACGACAATCTGTGTTGACTTTGTAAGTGGCGTAGTGGTAAGGCCATTAACGCTGAACAGCGGCATCACCAACCCGGCGAATTATACCTTTGAATGGTTCGAGAACGGATCAACGACTCCAATACCGGGAGAAACAGGATCGACCTATACAGTAAATACGGCTGA